AAGTGGAAGGAGGTGAGGGAGGAATGGGGTACGAGCCCCCGATGGGGAGGACTGGGGTGGCTCTGCGGGATCCTCTCCTGCAGCCCCCTGATTGACCCCCCCTGAATGGCAGCCTGCTGCAAGTGTAGCCGGGCTGATGGCCGAGTGCTGTGATGTGCCGAGTGTGGGCATTCAGGGCACTCCAAGACAGGACTGCTTTGCTGTCCCTCATCGAGTTAGACAAGCGAGCAGGGAACCCCTGAGAACTGTCTGTCTGGGGTGGAGGTCGGGACCCTTTAAGCACAGCCCTCGGCTAGCCTGAGACAGCAACTCCACACTCTAAGTCCTAATCTGATGCCCTGCCGGCACTGCTTCCGGCCATCCTTAACCTCGGTTCAGGGTCCACTCAATGTGGACATGTTAGTTCGAATTAGCAAAACGCTAATTCGAACTAGTTTTTAGGTCTAGATGCACTAGTTCGAATTAGCTTAGTTCGAATTAACTAATTCGAATTAAGTTAGTTCGAATTAGCGCTGTAGCGTAAACAGACCCGAAAATAGTTGGTGTGAGATACTGGGTAGTATCTACATTGCAAATGGAAGAGTGAGGGCAATACATATAGATGTGCCCGGGTTACCTTTGATCCAATTAACTGAACTAATTGCACAGATTTGTGTTCTGCCACATCTTCACTACAGTGGAAAGGTCTATATGTGCTGCAATCACACAAATGACAGTTTTTCACTCAAAAGTGAGTCAAAGGACAAACTGGGACTAAAATCCAGGTCCCTTGGTTCTTAGTGCTACGTTCTACCCACTGGGCCAGGCTGCCTCAGAAAAGTTGGACTAGTTACTTGCTGTAGTCTAACTCCATAGGAGTGCGCTATTGTTTTGTTTTACATTTTTGTGGCAGACACGGGGCATGATTCATGAAGAAGAGGCACAACACTTCGCAGAGCAGCTGGAATTCTGGGCCACAAAGAAAGACCAGGCCCAGTTGCTGGAAATTAAGAGGAGCTGTATTGCTCAGAGAATTCAAGACATAGAATCTGAACTTTTTCACCTTCTGCAAACCACAACAGCCATCAGTTCATCTCCTGGAGTCCAGCAATCCTACTGTACTAGCTAAAAGCATCCGGCTGATGACATTCCATCATTGCTGGGGCTAACAGCCCTGTGCGCACATAAATCCTAATTTCCATGAGGAATTCACACATTGCAAACATAGTACATATATAGAGACACTTAGCCATCAGCACATGCATGATGTGGCTTCTGGGGGCACAGATGGCAGAAATACATGCACAGAAACAAAGACACTGATGGATATAATTTGAGAGAAATACATATGTTCATGAAGAGATGTACATGTACAAAGAGATTTTCATATGCACATTGATAGATACACACTGTGATTCCTATATATGCATTCATTCCAGCTGTGAAGACATAGACTTAAATGTATTCCTACTTGCTGTTAGTCATCCCTAATTCTGCAGGCTTGAAAATAACATAATGTTCTTAACATGGTTCACTGATTCTGAATATACCACTCTCAATTGGAGACACAAAAACAGAATAGGAAATTAGACTCTTCACATACGTTGTAGGTAATCCATCAGCAAAATAAATAATGCGTATCTCATGCAGGTTGCACCATTAAGGTTATTTGTTTTCCTGGAGAAAAAAAAGGGTATTTTGGTCCTGCATGGTCTGACTTTAATAGCTTGTGAACATGAACTCAAGCAGCAATGTCAGTTCCAAGAAGGGTGGATCAGGAAATACCAAAGATGTCTGTAACAATAATGGATTGTTGCCCCTCATGCTGAATTTCATAGATCTGTTACCAAATTGCTAATTAATAATAAAGCTTGGCCCTTTTCATCCATGAATCTCAAAGCAATTTACATTGGCATGGTGAATTACAAATTTAGAAAGAAAGAATGTTCTAGAAGGTAAAAATGCAAGTGTGTGTGTAAAGGGGAATGGTTGCTGTGATTTACGGAGTGATTTTAAATTAACATATTTGAAAACCTTCAGATTTAAAACATACTTTGGCGTCCAGATCATTTTTGTTCTGGAGAATTCTGATCATTGGAGGTTAATGTGACAGTTTTGTATTGTAAATTTTTCATGTCTCAAAAACCAAGTTAAATGAAGAAATAGGAAAACAAATGGACAGAATTTTAGCTATTTTTGTCCTTGTTGTTATCCCCCTTGTTTCATGAGGCTCTTTTGTACCATAAACATGTAATCCAGAGGCACTGAGACCACTACAAGGGAGAGTGAAGCGTGCTCTACAGCTTTAGCAGACAGCCAAGTGGCTTTCAGCTCATGGACTTTAGCCCACCTGCCGGCGACCCCAGTTCGTCAGCTTTACACACAACTACCAAGTCTTACTTCTTTGAGCTTCATATTCAGTATCTCCTGCTAGCAAGGAAAGATTTTGCAATGAACTTAAATGGGATGTTTCAAATCTCTTTTAAATTGTCACTGTTCTCGCCCTACTTTCAACTGTTTGTGCTGTGTAATAACGGGAAAGGAGTAACTCCGCTCTCTAGTCAGGCTGGGAAAGGGTTGGACAATTCCCTGACATTCAGCCTCTTTTCCTGAAGGGACTCCTGCTGGGGGAGCATGAGAGCACAGTAGTTGTAAATTCTTTCCCAGTACAATTCCTTGGATCTCTCTCTGCTGCCAGTGGCTAAGACTGGGGGAGCCACAAACTCTCTCTGCAGCCAGTGTGCCCACGTTGTTCTGGACAGCTTCTCCGGCTGAGAGGGTGGGGTTGGTGCATAGTAGAGAGAACTCCCATCTGGGCATCAAACACACCTATCCCAGCGCCTGCAGCACGGATCTTGAAACAGAAGATTTATGATCTTTTTAAAAAAATCCGTCTCTTCCACTTGTCAGCCCTGCCTGTAAAGAAGGGCAAATGGAGTCTGTCGTGGCTGTGAAATGTGCCTGAGTTCTGTAGTGCAAGTCAGGAGCCTCCTCTCTCCCTTTCTCCCCGGGTGCCTTCCTGTCAATTCGAAGCAAGGGAAAGTAAGGGAAAGTTTCCTGGCGAGAAGCCAGCATAACACCATGGCAACCTGCACAAGCAGGTGCCCACTAGTAGATTCCAGCAGCCTCTGCCTGGTCCCTTTAGTGGATAGAAACAATATTTATTCAGCTGTTGCCTCATGAAGAGGCTTTTGAGCCCCGCTGGTTCCTAAGCACAAACAATGATTACAGGGCAATTCTACAGGTGGCATCATCAGGGAGAGTAACAAGTCATGCTGGCACCTGGCAGTCGGGACAGACATGTTCAGTTTGGCTTCTACAGGGTGATTGCCTGGTCGGATGTGAAGGAATTTCAGGGTCCTTCTCCTGAGGGAAGTTTTTCCAGGTACTCACCCTTCTTAGATATTATTTCCCTCATTTTGTGCCGGTTGATTGTGACTTTCCCTGGCCTGCACAGGCAAACTGGAACACGATGGCTGGTATTACTGTTGCAGCTCCACCTTGGGAAGATACAGTCACTTACCAGCATCCTGGGTGAGTTTTTAGCCAAGGATAGAGCAAGAGAAGTCCAGGGAACACAACTTGTCTGGGAGCAAACAGCTAACTCCAAGCATTTGCAAGGGGCTCTTAAGTCTGGCTCTGGGATTGCTTTTCTGTGTCAATATAAGACAGTGGGAATGTTGTCATTGGTCTCTTCCTTTTCCTAGGCTATTGGCAGAAATGTTTATAACAGTGCTTCATGGAGGTAAGTGACTTTCCAGCCTCTGATTTCTGTTGCCTCTTTCTTGTCCATAAGGAATGTTTAGCTACTCAAGACAAGAGGCAATGAAGCCTGCATTCCTTTCCCTCCTGGATATACTGGTTTTGACAGGGGGGAAATATATATTGCATGGGAAGTGGTTTTCTTTTTCAAAAGTTCCTACAAAAATATTTGTTCCCCCCCCCCCCCCCCCCCCCCGCCAATGCCAATATTAGGAGAAGATAAGTGAAAAGTTTTCTGGGTGAAATTTTCAAGAATGCCTAAGTGACTTTTCAAACATTATTTTGACTCAGATTTTCAAAAGCTATTTAGGCATTACTAGGCTCAGCACTGCAATCCCTAACTGATTCGGGCACCTAAATCTCATTTCCAAAAGGGATTTAAGATCTTTATAGACAAAATCTCCTTGACAGTGATGAATTTATAATTCACATGTCTAAATCACAGTTTAAAACTAAATCAGTAAGGCATTGAAATGCAGAGCACAACAGTTCCTCAGTACCTTTAAAAATCTGTCCCTAAGGGCCTGAAAGAGCCTAAGGCTTCATCTATACCTAAAATGTAGGTCACTCTAGCACTGTGAAAAATTCACACCCTGTGTGCTGCTCTTAGGTCTTATTGTAAATGTAGCTAGGTCAGCACGTGAATTCTTCTGTCAACATAGTGATTTCCTCTTGATGGGGGTGGATTACAGCAATGGAAAACACTTCCTCTTCTGTTTGTATAGGAAATGTATGCGCTACAACTGTTGAGAGTATGTAGTGCAGACATATCCTTAGCCTCACTGAGGACAGGTTTACACTAGACCCGGCAGCTCAGTTTAAGGTATGCAAGTCCAGCTACACAGCATGTGTAGCTGGAGTTGGCTTATATTAAGCTGAGCTTTGGCACATTGCAGGAGACTGATGGGAGCAAACATTCCCAGTGGCTTCCCTTACTGCTTGCAAAAGGAGGAATACTGGCCGCTGGAAGGAGCTGCCCTCAGTGTTCGATTTATGGGTCTATACTAGACTAAATCAAACACCAGGGCTGTGTCTACACTGGCCACTTATTCCGGAAAATCAGCCGCTTTTCCAGAATAACTTGCCAGCTGTCTACACTGGCCCCTTGAATTTCCGGAAAAGCAATGACGATCTACTGTAAAATCATCAGTGTTTTTCCGGAAAAACTATGCTGCTCCCGTTCAGACAAAAGTCCTTTTCCGGAAAACTGTTCCGGAAAAGGGCCAGTGTAGACAGCCCAGATTTCTTTTCCGCAAAAAAGCCCCGATCGTAAAAATGGCGATTTTTTTTGCGGAAAAGCGCGTCTACATTGGCACGGACGCTTTTCCGGAAAAAGTGCTTTTCCGGAAAAGCATCCTGCCAATGTAGACGTGCTTTTTCTGGAAATACTTATAACAGAAAACTGTTCTGTTTTAAGCATTTCCGGAAAAGGGTGCCAGTGTAGACGTAGCCCAGAAGATCGACAGCTGGAGCGTCAATCTTCTGGGAAGTATAGAGATGCCCTCAGAGTCATGCATCTGACAAAGTGGGTCTTTGCCCACAAAAGCTTATGCTCCAACACTTCTGTTAGTCTATAAGGTGCCACAGGACACCTCGCCGCTTTTGCAGATTCAGACTAACACGGCTACCCCTCTGATACTTGACCTCAGAGTCAGTGGGTCTTAGACCCAGCTCCTCAAAGCTATTCAGCTGCCTCACTCCCACTGCTTTCAGTGAGATTGCCATCTAAATATCCTTGAGGGCCTGGGCCTTTGTCCCCTAGGCACATAAATCACATTGAATATAGCGCTTACCGCTCTTAAGTTACATAGGCATTTTTGATGGTTGAGGCCTGGGACAAAGTCGTCCAGCAACTGGAGATGGAGATAAGATGCAAATGCTGGAACCACAACCAGACCCCAAATTCTCTCTGTGCTGGGTGTTAGGATCCTGGATTTTACCATAGCAATAAACTCAAACAAGGATGTGCATTATTGGTCTGCTGGTGCATCCCTGGTATGTGCCCTGTGAAGCACAGGAAAAGGAGGGTGCTGATACCCTGCTAACTATAACTACTCATTGCAGGAGGAGTAACGGTAGTTCGAATTAGGAGCTTTAATTTGAACTACCTAGCCCATGCCACGTGTAGCCATGGGCAGGGAGTCCGAATTACCGGGCATTTAAATATGGTGGTGCCTGGGAAAATGCAAATAAAGCCAGGGATATTTTAATCCCGGGCTTCATTTGCAAGTTCGAATGCCTACATTAGCCACCCTAGTTCGAAGTAGGGTGGCAGTGCAAACATACCCTTAGGGACAAAGCTTTTGGTTTGGTGCTGAGCTCCTGGAGAGGACTGATATGGGGGAAGAGGGAAGACAGACATTTGTACTTGTGCCCCAAGCTTAGTATCTTGTAACAAGGGTGAAAACGGGAGCAAAATGGTAGGGATGGGGTCACAGTGAACACGTCCTAGGGCCCCATATTTCTCTTGATGGGCCGGCTCCCTGCGACCTCAAGGAGGTTTCAGTTTTGCTCCATGAATTATGTCTCTCAACAGAAAATGAAAAGGCTCTTTTCAACATTCATTGCAAAGTCCAGCTACTCCTGGAGAGCATCAAACACGGCTGTAGCTGTGAGAATGAAGGTACGGTAGGTCATGGAGCCCTGCCAAGGGCTCCATCTTGTTACGGCTCTGCTTGACCATGCAGACTGGGATAAGACCAAGCTTCTGCTGCCCTTCAGTTGCAGGGTGGGGTGTCACCAAGCCATGTAGGGTTGAAATCTGGCAGAACCTTCACACTGACTTTCTCAGGATGACCAGGTATCTAGTTTTCAAGTGGAACATCCAATCAAAAAGGGACACTGGTGTCTCCAGTCTGCACCACCAACCCGACCATTAAAAGTCCAGTCAGCCGTGCTGCAGGGGTGAGACAGGCTAGTCCTCTTCTGTCCTGGCACCGTGCTGCAGCCCCAATGCAGCCAGTGGTTCTGGCTGCTGGATGGGAGAATCATGGGCTCCACCCCCACCCTGGGCCCTTGCTCTGCATTCCCATTGGCTAGTTCCCAGCCAAAGGGAGCTGAGGGAGCAGTGTCTGTGGGCAGGGGGACCAACAGACTTGCCAGGCCCCTGGGCAAGATGGGAGAGGCCAGCTCCACATTCTCAGAAGTGGTGGGGTCTCAGGCAGGGGGGCAGGGCCTGATGTGTTTGCGCACATGGGTCCATGTCCTCTGGTGCGGACCATGCTGCCGCACGCTTTCCTGTGCCACCTCTGAGGGCTCCGATATGACCTTCATTTGAGAGGTCTTCCGCGAGACCTCTCCAAGCTGCCGACCGTCTACCAGGACCTCCTTCAGACCTAGAAGATGCTTTCAGTGGCCAGGTCCTTGGGAGCCACCATGGGGGCAGACCTCCTCATGGAGCCCCTGCTACACAACCCCCATCTACGTGCACAGGTGGCAGAGTCCCTCTTGGGCACCACAGGTTGGTCCTGGCAGAAGTCGCCAGAATCAGACACCTCCTAGACTACGACCAGGAAGACTGGGTGGATCCTCTGGCACTGCCCAGCACACGGGGCTCTCCACCCTACGTACTCCCCAGTGCATGCTTCAGGAGGTGAAGGACGCTTTGCTGCCTGCTGCTCGGGTTTATCTCGACAGGATCCTGTGAGAGGGTACACCCTGCCCGCCCCCCTGATCTCTCCATAGGCCCCCAACCCCGCGTACCTTCCCGACCGCCACCCCCTCCTTACCCAAGCCGGCTGCACACGTTGCAGTCGGTCCCCTTTCGAACCACACTAAAGAGTCATCTGTACACACTCGTGCTTCACACTCTTCACTTCCCCACCCTCGTGTCCCACCCAGATACCGAGTGGCAGGACCTCCTTCCGCCAATAGAGGGTGGGGAACCCGAATGGACCAATCTCTATTCCACCTTGGTTCTACGTCTCACAAGAGACATCAGCTGGAGAATCTTCCACGGTGCTGGGAGCACGAGCATGTACTTGGCACAGTTCACCCCTGTTCCCGACACTTGCCCCTTCTGTGGCATTAGAGAGACCCTGGCGCACGTTTATCTCGAGTGCGCCTGCTTACAGTCCCTCTTTCAGCTCCTCCAGAACCTCTTGTTGAGGTTCTGGCTACACTTCTCCCCTCACCTATTAATTTACACACACCCCATCCATAGCCTCACACAGTCGCGGGACCTCCTCATCGACCTCCTGGCTACTGCCAAACTGGCAATTTATAAAACCAGGGAGCAGAGATTAGGTATGGGGGTGGGGGGAGGCTGTGACTGTGGAGCCTATTTCCGCTCCTGCATCTGTTCATGCATCCCGGCAGAGTTCCACTGGGTGGCATCCGCTGGCTCTCTTGAGACCTTCAAGGGGCAGTGGGCACTGTCCAGGGCTCTCTGATCGGTGTTCCTATCTGGTTCCCTCGTTTTAGCCCTTTGACCTTCACCCCGTCCCTGTTTTTTCTTTTTTCTTGGTCCCCTGGAATTAGTTGGCATCTAGGGCTCTTTGGATCTTCCCTGTAGGTTGGGGGAGGGTCCTTTAATGGGGGTGGGCGAATGCCCATCCACCTCCCTGACCCAATAGGACCAAACTCCTGCAGCCCACTGCCTTCAGTCTGCCCCAGTGGTATGTTTATATTTACCTGTTGTGGATAATAGCTGCTTCTGTGTCAATGTTCATGCTCTGAATGAGCAATGTGTTCATTTTAAAGATGCTCTTCCTGCTCCCAGGTTTTATTTGCTCACTGGCCTTCAGCTCTTACCCACGTTATGCATTGCAGATGACATTGAGCTGGCAGATGTGAGTGGCCAGGTGAAGAATTTGCTTCAGAACCAACATCGCTGTGCCTCGGAGCTTCTGAGCGAGCGAGAGATCTGTGTCCTCCTCCGTGTCACAAGTAGGTACAGCATAGCCAGCGCCACGAGAGGAAAATGCCTCTGCATTTTGGCCACAAGCATTGTGATGGCTACAAAAGCAATGCCCAGTCCCAGTTCTGGCCACTAGATAGCACATCTGCAGGAGAAATGTTTCTCTCTCTATGAAATTCCTTTGTCCCTCACAGATGGTGGAGGTTCTTCAGAGGCAGTATTTACCCCACTGCTGAAAGATGAAGGCATAATTAATCCTAAATTCCTTGGTAAGTAGTGCTGCTAAGCTAGATAGTTTTATGAGACTAATGTACAAAATGTATTAGGATGTTGGGTGTATTTCCAAGAGAAAGGAATATACCATCTCAGTTGTATTTCTCAGGAAGGAATCAAAGCCCAAGCCAAGCAAGAATGATTTAAATTTGTACTAGAAATATTTCTTTGCAGTTTCTTGGAGACAAATTGGCATTGTCAGAGGAGGGCAGCAGGCCTAGCATATCGGGGGCTGAGGCAGCTCTGAGTCACCTGAGAATAGTTAACTCGCTGAGTAACTGGGAGGCAGTCTCTTAGGCAGTAAAACACCTGGGCATGTATCAAGGATAACGATCTTAATTAGCAAAGGAACTTCTAAGCAGAAAGGCTGTTGCTGCTTCTGAGACTGAGGGATTACAGAGACACACTCCTTCCAGCAGACTGTTGAGAAACTGCTAGACAAAACCAACACCCCAAAGAGGGAGAAACAGATTAGAGCTATGGAAGAAAGATTAGAGAGGTAGGAAATAGCTCAGAAAAGAAGGGATGGAGAAGGACTGGTTCTAACCCTTCAAACAAGGGGCCAGAGCTGGAACTCGGGGAGTGGGTTGGCCTGAGCTCCCATATCTATTCCAGGGAGGGTTTTTTTTTAAGAGCAGAAGCTCCTAACTTTGGATACTTTGGATGGATTAACCCCTGCTAGCACCATGCCAGGGGGTGTGGTGCTTAGGAAGCAATGGTGCTCTTCCTTATGGGTGTTTACTTCCAAAGTGCCTCTGAATTTCTTTCCAGTCGGGGTGGTTTACTGGCATCTTAGACAGGAGCAGACTTGTCTCTGACTTGGTTAAGGAAAGTTTGTGTGCTGCAGGCAACGCGTTTCTCTCCTGGGAAAGTATTTTGATCTAGGATTGAACTGGCCCAGCCTATCCTGGGAGTGACATGTGTTTTGGCCAGCACACTGCAGACCATAGAGAGGGATGCAGAGAGCAGGAAGAGCTTGTCTGGGCAACAGCCTTGCTGATGGCCCATGTGGCTTTGCCATGGCCAAAACCAGTTACCTAGGAGCTTTATGGCCTGATGGAGCTCTTGAACAATGGTTGGATCAGCTCAAGATAGGTAGCCAGTGTAAAAGTCCACCATAATGTCAATCAGTGACTGAGATGATTGATTTACTGCATAGACTCCCTGTCTCACAAGTGTGGGGTCACCAGGCCCTGCACCCCCTCTGCAGACAGATGTGACTCTCAGCCAGCAGGTGAAACAAAAAGTTTATTAGCCCACAGGGACACTGCGTCAACCAGACTTGTTAGCACAGAAACCAGAAGCAGTCAGTGTAATCCACACTGAGGAGAGAGGCCTTAGAACCAAGGGCCCTGCCCCCCATTTCTGCCTCCCCCAAATCAATGAGAGTCACACTCACACACAGCGCCCATCTACCCCCTGCAGCCAGCCCCATTTCCAGCCTTTGTCCAGCTTCCTGGGCGAAAGGTGTCCCCTGTTTACCTCCTTTACAGAAGGCATCAGCCATTGTATACATGGGAACACCAACATTCCCACCATCATCTTCATATTGGTACAGTGCCCAGGGAAACTGAGGCCCATACATAGGGTTACTATAGAGTGCATATAATCCCCATTTTGTCGCACTCATTCACATTCAGGAGTACTGTTGTTGATTTGTATTTTGAAATTATATGGAATATTTTATCTGTAGCTCTCTAGGCACTTCACAAATGTTAAGTAACTAAGTAATGACACTCCTCCCACTTTTTCTGATCAGTATTATTATCCTCGTCATACAGTGGTGAAATTGAAGTACAGAACTGTTAAATGACTTGCACAAAGTCACCCAGTGAGTCAGTGGCAGAGTTGGAAATAAAACCCAGGAGTTCTCATGGCACTGGTGCTGTTTGTAATCACTCCTAGAGGAGGCTGGACTCAGTCTCTCAGAATAACTACTAGATTGCTCCTTAATCTTTCTTTTATTATTTTTAGCCTTTTATTTGTGTGTGTTGTGATATTAATTGCACAATTAGTGTAATAGTTGGTTTGGGTGAAATCAGATGAGTGCCAGGGAGGTACAAGTGTTGACATTTCCGAACTTTCCTAATCCGAGTGCTTTTCTCCTCTCTGTGAAGCTAAATTGGGGAACTGGGAAGATTCCAAGGTCTCTTCAACCGGAGTGAAAGCCAAAAAAGCAGGCAAAAAGACAAGTGTGCTCTTAGAGATTCCATCAGAAGAAGGTGAGTCTCTGAAACCTAATGAGGCCAGAGAGCTTAATCCTGTTCATTCCCTTTGAATTTCCAGGACCCACCCATCTGCTCTGTGTGTTTCTGCTGCAGGTAAACAGAATCCATCGCCCCAAGGCAACAGGACTAAAATTATAGTGTCCTCTCCGAAACAATCCAGGAGACACTGAGAGTGGCATATCCCAAGGGATGGTTGATGCTGACCTCTCCTTCCCAGCTGCTATTTGAAAATGTTTGATGTCTTCTGGCTTGTTCCTTGGAGAAGTGCCTTTTAGGGCTGACTCCAGGAGTCTGAGCCACTCGGAGCGTTCCATGCGTACATTGATTCTGAATGATCCCAGATTTGCTGTGGAAAAACTCCTCCATTCTCTGCTAGCCAATTGGAAAGGACGTGAGATAATGGATTCCTTTCTGATGGCTCAAGGAAGAATGTAAAGTTGCATCAAGAGGGCATACTGTAATCTAAGCCTAGGCATGAAAGGGGTCCTTTTGGAGTGGGGCTCAATACTGGACTGATTAACTGTTAATTCAGCAGCTGAGTAAGGTCCACAAGTTCAGGGCCTAGAAGATTACTAGATTATTGGATGCAAACTGTAAAATGCAACCTGCACTGATGTCTTTGTTATTGTGTAACCAGTTTTATGGGTACTAGTTGGAGATTCTGTTGTTGCTTGTCTACTTTCTCTGTGTGATTCAGAATTCTACTTTGTTCCTTCTGATTGATGTAACATTTGCTTTGTGCTCTGTACTTCTTCCTTTGGTGTGTCCTTGAACCACAAGGGCTATTTGTGTTGAATGTCTCTCCCTTACAGAGAGAAACTTCACAATAGTAGATTTCTTTGAAGTTACTTGGCATTTATACCCGAGCAATCAACAACAGAATTGGCCCCAACACGTGCAATTTTGACACTGTCCCTCCATGGTAGAGCCCTGCAACCCAAGAGGACCCAGCTGTAACTGTCATATTTGGGAAACTATGCAATCCTTGGGGACTCGGGTCACTTCAGCTCTCTGCCACCTACCCAGGAGAACAATGACTCTGTCAAATAGTGATAGAAATGTAGCCGTGTTAGTCTGGTGTAGCTGAAACAAAAAACAGGACTATGTAGCACTTTATAGACTAACAAAATGGTTTATTAGATGATGAGCTTTCGTGGGCCAGACCCACTTCCTCACATCCAATAGTGGAAGAAAATTGGCACAACCGTATATACCAAAGGATACAATAAAAAAAATGAACACATATGAAAAGGACAAATCAAATTTCAGAACAGAAGGAGGATGGGGGTCGGGGGGGAGGTAAATGTCTGTGAGCTAATGATATTAGAGGTGATAACTGGGGGTGCTATCTTTGTAATGGGTGAGAATTAATGTCTTTGTTTAGACCTAAGCGTAAAGTGTCAAATTTAAGCATGAATGACAGTTCAGAGGATTCTCATTATCTCAACGACTTGATTACCTGCTTCAAAGACCTTTTAATGCCAGACTTGAAAGAGAATCCTCTGAACTGTCATTCATGCTTAAATTCGACACTTTATGCTTAGGCCTAAACAAAGACATTAATTATCTTACCCATTACAAAGATAGCACCCCCAGTTATCACCTCTAATATCATTAGCTCACAGACATTTATCTTCCCCCCCCCCCCCCCCCCCCACCCCCCGCTGCT